CCTCGCCCCCTCCTTCACCATCTGCCTCTTCACCCTCCTCGGTAGTCAAGGGCTCCCTATCGACTTGCACGGCGAGTTCATCAGGCACGTCGTTCATAGAGAGGGTGCCAAAGTCGAAGTTGGGGTGCGACATCTTTAAATAGCAGCGGCAGAGCTTAAAGCCCTTCTTCATCGAAGGGATAGAATTATACACCTTTTCCTTTCCATACTTAGGAGACTCTCGGCAATGAGTGACAGCTACCACCTCAACTCGGCAGATATCTTCGGTATATTTCGCCCATCTTTCCTCCAGTTGGCTCTCTTGGGGTAGCAATGGTGTCTCGAGCCTCGGCCAGCTCACGTTGCATTCTCTCACTCAACCCGATGAAACACTGGAGATCCTCCTCTGCACTGAGCCAGATATCACACATCGAAGACTATAACGCGTCAATATTTGACCTGCAGCTCGCCTCTCTCCCTCTGGCTCGCATGAACCTGATCCAATAAGACTTGCCTGATGGTGTTCGCCTACCAAGAAGAAGAAAGGCATGATTAGAGTAGAAATCACAAAGCTAAAAGGACAAAAACTTTGGAAGGAGACAAACCTGAACAATACAGTGAGTCACCGAGCTCCAGCGTCAACAGGGTTCAAGTTGTGAAAATACCGCACATCCTTGGGGAGCAACATACCCCTCGCCATTCGAAGAGCTACGTAAGGATCGGTGACATGATCGAGCATAGAAACGTCAACATGAGGAACGAAGCGGGGAATATTCGAGGTGTATGGGCCGGCCTCATGTTTCCTCTTGGATGACCTAAGGTTGAGAGATGGCAGGACCCGTAGAGTACTAATCGGTATTCATTGGGTCATGACCTCCCTTAAGGTTGACGATAGGAAGAGCATGTGATTGTGACCTTACCTCGGCATTGGTTGAGGTGCCCTCTATGGATGAGTGGCGATCAGCCCTCCGCTTCTTCCTCGAAGTCTTCTTCTTGGAAGCCGCCAACATCAATTCCATGCTCGCCGTATCTAAAAAAGGAGAAAGAAAGGTTAGCCGAGTTAAAAATCAGTAGAACCAAAAGAAAAAAACTCGGAGACCGATCTACCTATGTGACTCAAGCCGGCCTATATAAGCATGGGCTTAGCCAAAACGGTTTTTACTTTGACTTTCTGGCGGACAAAATCTTGCACTGCTGCATGCAGCTCTTCACTAAACCCTTCATTGAAAGTCCAACAATCACTATGCGAAATAGTGCTCATGCCCCAGCCACCACTCTTAGAGAGGAAGAAATACTTGCTCTTCTAGTCTTTTAATTTATTGGGAAACTCATCTAACACCTTATAGCCGCCACGAAAGGGGAGATAGAAACAAAAAGGGACATTGTGGACTTTCTTCATGGTACACAAACCAGAGAAGATATCCAAATTTAAAGGGAAATTATGGTGGTAACATAAACAGATCAGCCCTACCAAGGTCTGAACTGCATTAGGGTGAAGCTAACCTAAAGAGACACCGTAATACCTCAACACCAAGAGAATGAATGGATGTAGGGGAAACCAAGGGCCGACGACCAACGCCTCCTCAAAAAATACAAACAACATCCTGGCCGAGGTCCCAGGGATAGTTATTAGGGCCGGGGTGAAAACAATCATACTCGGCAGGGATCTGGTAAATGCTATATAGTTCCACAATGCGCTCCCCAAAAAGCGTAGTTGGGCAAAAAACAGACGTTGCTCACCTCTCGTCCCTATCAGAGATCCGGAGTAGAACTCCCCTCGAGATTCCTCCCCTGAGGAACTCGCCTCTTCGTCTGACCTATGGTCGAGCAACCTACTCCCTGAAGGATTAAAAGACATCGGCAAAGGCAAACCACTCATCGGAAAAAGAACAAAGAAGACCAGCACCGATGACTAACAGTACCTCAACAGGCAAACTGGGAACAACACTTCGATTACAACCTCCTCAGATTGGACACCACCCCAGAAAATTCCAAAAACAATGTAAGTGGGGACCTCAGTGGGAACCCCATATTTATAATCCACTAAACAAAAGAATAAGTGGTAGAGGTGCATTGGCAGCAAATTGATGGTTGGAACAAAAGGGCGCCACACGTAGGCAATTTCGAATTCAAAATTTTGCGTGCCTGCTATGGGCAGCTCTTTTTGAAGTTTGAAACTGGAGTGCCTACCTTGAGCACCTCTTTTTCGAGTTTGAAATTTGAAAACTGCCATGGTCCCGCCCAATCTCAGGTCAGATCAAGAAAGCAAGTTGGGCGACCTACGAACCAGTCAAACCAATTACTTTACTAAGAGATCAAGAAAGGTGCTTGAGGGGTAACTTGGTCATCTGAATAACTTCACAACATGTGGCCTTCAAGTGACACTCGGCACTGACTAAACGAACCAGTTCAACAAGTTAGCCTCAAGCATCTCATCCAAGACAAACTCCACCTCGGCCGGGCTGAACTGATAGGTTTCCTAACTCGTAGTGACCTACCCCCGAGATCTTCAGGACATTAATGCATTGACTGTTGGACTGGCTTATCACACCACACGCCCCAGAGTTACTCGAACAGATCGTAACCTCCGCATAGAACACGTAACTGACATAGTAACTCACTGAACCAAGCAGAAACTGCTCCGCGAGAAGAGGAGACCCGTTGTAAGGGGACTCAGACCACTGACGCCTATATAAGGCACTCATTTCTACTTGTGAGGGTACGCGCGATTACAAGCTCTCAAGCTCCTTTTATTCTCTAAAGCTCTCAAAACAATCTCTAACATAAGCATCGGAGTGCCCACCCCAGGTAAAGACAACTCGAGCACTCTAACTCTTCCTTTTGCAGAACAAATCCAACTCGGCCCAGCACAACTCAACTTGACATGGTACTATCAACATCAGGGTCCGAGTCATCTGACACACAAGAGGAGCCAAATTGTGCGACATCAATAATAATTAATATTATTAATTATTGATAACATTAATTCATAAAAATAATTATTTATATTAATAAAAATAATATTCAAAAGAAAAAACTCTAATTCCCTGATCGTTATTGTTTGTTACCACCTAGTAGAGGTGTCAATTGGATGGATTTAGTCGAACCCAATCCAGTCCAATGTGAGTCCACTTATAAATGGACTGGACCCAATCCAGTCCAAATCCAATTCAATTAATTAAAATGTAAATGGATTAGATTGGATCCAATCCAAACCGATTGAAATATCAAAAATTATATAAAAGCACTTTTAGCATTGAAAAAGCACTTTTGTAAATGCACTTTGATAAAAATATTTTCATAAAAGTGTTTTTACAAAAGCACTTTATTGGAAGTACTTCAGAAAAGTGCTTTTGTAGAAGTACTTCCATAGACTTTTATAAAAAGTACTTTTGTAGAAGTGCTTTTGTAAAAGTATTTTTATAAAAGTACTTTTGAAAAATTTTACAAAAGTACTTTTGTAAAAGTGCTTTCGTAGAAGTACTTTCGTAGAAGTGTTTTTATAAAAGTGCTTTCATAAAAGTACTTTTATAAAAGTGCTTT